TGCAGAGTTCATGTGCGGTGAGATCAGGATGAGATTCGAGGCTGGCACATGATGTCCCTCCTGATTTGCATACTGTGTGTTCTAATAGGATTTCATCGACTCATTCCATCACTTATTCCATTCCCCTTGGCTGTTACCCTTCTTCTATCCTCTCCCACCACTCTCCACTATCTGCGTTTCCTCAGTATGACGCTGCAAAACGGCAGACGTATAAGGGGTGATTTTATGTTAATGCGCTCTGCGTAAGGAGAGTTTCCATAAACAAGCGGCGTGTTGGCTAGCTTGAATGGGAATGTCGGTGTCATTCATGTGCAAATAAACATTCAATTTACTAAGTTCTTAGAAACCTCTATTCACAGATGCTCTCTTGCCATGCTTTCGTAGTAACGTGATAAAACGGCTTGTGTTGAAAAATTTCTCTTTCATTCTCAACCTTCAAATGGGATTTCCACATCATTTCAGTGGCAGGTGATGAAATGAAACTGACTTTTGAATGCTTCCCTTTTCTGAAAGGAAAATGAATATTCGTTTTTTTTTGTGACATCAGAAAGATCTGTTTTGTCAATTGGATGGTATTTGTCCTTTTCTGGGGAAAAAGACATTTGTCTCATGAAGACACCCACACCCGTCCACAGCTGCTGTGCCGCTGGATATCACTGTACGCCTTTGTACAGAGTCAAGCAACTTAATTTACACTGTTGTTGTATAAAGTACTGAAGCAATAAAAGGCCAACTCAACATCATACGGATAACTTAGATTGGTCAAATTCAGATTTGAGCATCCAGGCCACAAAGGATAATCCATTAATCAGATTATCAGGTTGTATTCTGTCAGTCATGTGGTCCAAGGAATGGAAGTTCAAATGAACGACATGGAAACATGACATGTGCATTTGTGGACCCCACCTTGAAATGAACTTTCACAGAGCAGAATTTAAAACCACATTAAGTCAGACAGATGATTTTCAAAGTAAAATTTCTTAAGTGCTATGAGCAAAGAGCAGATATTCGATTGTTTAACCTGACCTTGGATCTACATTGACTGGTCAAGATTGGGAATATACATGCAGAATGATGTGGTCCTGTTTCTCTCTATAGATGTTTTTGTCTTCCTTTTCACGGCAGGAAGTGAAAATAAAGTTCAACAGGATTTTACAGTATTGTTGAATTGGAAGGATCTCGGGTTGGGTTTGTTCTTGCCGTCTTCTCCTCTCACATGTTCAGTGAGCTTTAATTTCACCTCCCCCACAATATGTTGCTCTCATTTGTATTATCAGTTTTTAATCAGTGTCGCAATCCAAACCACGCAGGAATAATGATAATACCTGAGATGAATCAAAACACAGGAAATTGTACATCGATTGTGCTGTTATGAAGGATAAAATCCACAGGACATAATATCCTTAATTTGCCAGGCTTGCAAAACCGTAATTAGATCAGCAGCTTATCTGCAGCCCTTAGTGTTTTGAAGCGTTATTAGTAGTGAGAGGTGTGCCGAGATGTTACGCAGGAGACAGAGATGTGCCTTGGATTGATCTGCTGTAGCTACTGTAACGGGGCATGTGGCAATCTTCCCAGCAGATTACAAATAGACAGGACCTTTAAATTGTGTCTGACTGCTCAACGGAGACCAATCACTCTGAGGCGAAAGATGTGTGTGAAACGGGATGGCATTACAGTGAAACTGTGCACAGTTTCCCTGATGAATTTAGACCCCTTTAAACTCACGTGAAATGCTTTGGCTTTGATAGATCAGACATTTTCTTTCACCGTAGTTTAGGAGATCACTCCATCAGTCTCCTCTGGAACACCAACCACTTCAGAGAAAGCTGACAGCAACCTCAATAATAAAAAAAACACAACTGGAGTGCATGTGCATGTTGATATTTGTTGGTTTTAAAACTGAGAAAAGCACTGCTGAGATATGTATGGAGGCAGTTCAGGGCGAAAAATGATTAATGTCTTCGTCTGTCTCATTTAATCTTGTCCAGTTAACGTCTTTATCGCGGCACAGAATGAAGCAGGAAGGCAGGTGTTGACTCTGCCTCCAGAGGCACCAACTCAGATAAACACTGGCTGCAGGTATTATAAGACTCCCACGCAAACTCATCCACGGCACGACTCCTCGGAGCTCCTCGGGGGGGGGGTCAGCATATGGCTGCCCATAATTTCCTCTGTGCATCTGAAGTGGCCCCAAACACTTCTCATTAATGCATATGGTCCAGCTTTTAGCTGCGTTACAACGGTGATTGACAACACTAATATTCTCTCTGCTAGAACAATGATCACATTATCAGATCTGATTGGTTTGAGCCGTATCACCAAATTGCAGGACGAAAATCCAGCAGACACAAACTTACTTCCTATTATCACCTCCATTGTTCCCCGGTGTGAACTGCAATATCTGGTGGCAATCCTTGAGGGGAATTACAAAGCAGACCCTTTTCTCTTCTGGTGTTGCTGTTCATCACACTCACACATCACAAAGACCTGATGCCCTTTAAGCTCTACCAACAAGAACATGCGTAGCTGCAATCGCAAAGCCCCTTGCAGTGATTCAGAAAAAGGTTTTTTAGCTTGTAAGCCAAGGCTCGCTCATTAAAAATGTCTGACTTTGATGGCGTGGAGGTGGCGCAAGCCGAAAACAAAAGCTCCCGCCTAAAAATAAAGAGGACGCATTTGCTTGTCACCACTCTGGCATTATGAAAGATACTGTGGCTTTCAGTGAAATATCTGAGAGAGAAGACGCTGTTACCTAACAGATGATAATTAGTCATGTTTGTTGCCTGTATGCTTCCGTCAGAGAGATGCATTGCTTGCTCCCCTCTAACAGGAAATGCCCTGCAACCTTTCCAAAAGATTACATTACAATGCAAACATTACTTCTTTGATTTTGTGGGATGTTGCCTGCCGCTGAGCAGATGTTATCTGACAAACTGATACTTGGGTATTTTATTCTCTCCGTGCAGTGTAACAAATGTGAAAGGTGGGCTCATGAAATGTCAGACTTTTGGTTGTGCAAACATCAAGGGTGTCACAGTCTCACAATATATGCACCCACCCACTCACACTTATAGGAGAAGGTTCAATCAGGAGGGCAGAGCGAGAGAGAGAGAGAGAGAGAGAGAGAGAGAGAGAGAAGAAAAGAGATGCAGGGAGAATAACGTGCAGACAGTCTGCCATCTAGTGGATGAATCACAATGTGCAGGTTAGTGTTTCATGTCCTACATTTAGTTGTAGTGCTGGTTTGCAACACTGGGAGGCGATGCACTCCATGAATTGATTCATTAGCCATTACGACCACTATGGTGATCTTGAGGCAACAGCATTTCTTTAGGGCAGAAAATGATGATAAAAAAATGAGAAATACCAGAGGGAAGCCAACACGCACTGCAGATGTATTTAGAAAAAACTCTAGTCTTCATCTCCCGACACCTTGATATAACAGCTATTTCCCCCTTTAACATTACTTGTATTGATACAAAATATATTATCTAATATCTAGCGTTCTCTTTGTCTTTTTTAATTTGATTTAAAGCACATTGAGTTTTACTCTCTGTATAGAAACTGCTGTATATATAATATTGCCTTGTCGTACCTTGCCACACATATATTGATGAATTCTACATAAGCCTAATCTTGTTCAAATGTATTGTTTGAATGAAGAATAGTAAGCTGAGGAATGGCCCATTTAGAAATTGCATCACGATTTGCCATCATCATTATTATAGCAGCAGATGTTGCCACTGTTCCAGTCTGGAAGACTAAATGCTGTCAGGTGCACAGAGTTGCCTAGCAATGATTAAAGATGAGATTGCTTACACTCACGGCATTTCTTTGCAGCAGCGACCATATGTCCCATGAGCTTGTAGAGAAGTGTAGAGTTTATTAGCATATTTCACCTGTGGGTGTCTCTGTGAGTCAATGGTTTACCGCTTTACTGAAACTCTAAACAAACAGTTGAAAAGAACAATGAAGCAAAGGTGAACCTGACAACAATAATGATTTGATAGAAGTATTCATCACTATTACATAATAACAGTGATTGTACAAAACACAGTAACAAAATTATTTGTTTAAACAGTCAGTTTAAACAGGCTCACACACGTTTCCCAACCCTCCTGAGCATGTCAAGTCAAGTCAGTTTTATTTGATTCCTTATAGTCACAGTTACTGTCAATGGCTTTCACAACACCGGCATTTTGAGGACAATTACTGAATCAAATGTGTCATCGGAGACTGATGATGAATCACGAATAACCATGCACAACACTATGTGTTCATTGTGTAGCCAGGTATTTTCATTGCAAAAAAAAGGACCAGGAAAACAACTGTTTGTCTTAATCCTTGACAGAAACGCAACTATGTCAAAGTTCTACTACTCCCTGAATAACCAGTTTGAAGAGCATTTACATTAAGCTATACTGTATTTGCACTATACTTTACCTCTCCACAACAGCTTACAGCAGTACACCTACATGGATTTAAAACTAAATGCTGCATTCATGAGCACGAAGAACCAAATCAACTATAGTACCCCTGCATGTGGTTACAATTTAAAATCCTTTCAGTTTAATACACTTGCCTTTATTTGTGTGAGAACTGTTTGTCTCATAATAGGGCATGTTTGAGTTAATATGCTCAGCTGTATACAGCACGATTGCCACTTTTAGAATGTTGTTGGTCTGGCATGTCTGTGCATCCAATGTAAGATTTTATTATGCATGCCCAATCTTCTTTATTAACAATTCACACAGCCAACAAAACAAATGATGGAGGAGGGAAATGAACAAGGCTGTGGCCTAGCTGATTATTTTCTGTAATATACCACCTGTAATAGCTACGCAGTATTTCCCTGCGTGTATCCGTAATCTTTACATGTAAAGTGAGTATAGCGTTGTGTTGTGAGGCCTGGTTGATAGTACAGATGTCCCACCCTAGAAGCTGGGACGTGCTGCCCCCTATCAGATCAGTAGTGGCATGCTCCGCCCCGCCTATCAGCATCTCCAGTCAGTGTAGAGGAGCTGGGAGTCTGGAGGAGCACGAGCAGGCAGCGCAGACTTCAGCGGCTCGCGCGTTCGTCCGACACTCAAGAGCTGCTCCCCAGGCAGTGGAGGTGATGATGGCGGCGGCTGTAGAGAGAGGAGGCGTCCGGGCCGCTTTCCTGAACCCGAGCAGCGGCGGCGGCGGTGGACCAGCACCGACAACCCTCCCGACCGGAGCGTTAGCCGCCGGGGCTGTGGTCCTAGGCTCGGGCTCCGGCAGCATGCCTGTACCCATGAACCTCTTTGCAACCTGGGAGATAGACCGATCATCCCCAAGCTGCGTACCGAGGTAACGTTAACAGTTGTGTCAGCGTAAAGTACCACACAGTGTTTACAAACCACCACGTCGTTTAATAAATAGTAGGCTAACGTTGGGCAAACAACGCCCTCGTTGACTGTAACGTTAGGCGAGAGTAATGAGCTGCCACACATTTCCAAAACACTGTTGGGCTGGATTACTAGCAGGCTAACTAGCAAGGTGGCTAATGCTAAAGCTACCTAGCAAGTCGCACTGGTGTTCGAGTGTCTCTCATGTTGCATGCTGCAAGCATTTGACTCGAATTTAAATTTTTTGGCAATAACTAAGCAGTCGGCCGCAATGGTCAAGGTGATGTCTAATGTACATCATCATTTTAGACGTGGTCTCCAAGTGTGCACGTTGTTTTGTTCACAGTTGGTGTATCCAATTTTATTCCGACCGTTATGATAACTAGCTAGCGTTAACAAAAGTTCAGCTAACCTACGTTAGTTTATTGGTCAGAGCGGCTGCTGCTCTTCTGCTTTGTGGCTACGTTAATAAAGCTTGGGAATACATTACATTTTCCTTTGTCCACGTAGGCCCGTGCTTGAACTGATTTACGGAATGCATGCCACCTAATGGCAACATAACTATCTATAAATACAGTGACACGGATGCCGTTGGGCTCATAACTAGCAAACATCCTTTCCATCCTTTTAGAAGCACTGCGTGTCGCGAGCTGTCAGGGCGGCCAGCTGCCTGTGCAAGTGAAGTCCTCGTAATGTCGTGTTTCGGGTCTCATGTTTTGCGGGCTTGTGTTGTGTTTATGTTCCTATGCCCCTGCGTAGCTTCAGGGTTTGGCCAACCGGTCACACTCGCATAAGACTAACTCAAACAAAAACCTCGGATAGTGTTGACACAGCAGCTGGTTGACATGCAGAGAGTAAACTGTTTTGATCGCCACTTTTTGTGTACGCAAATCACGGTCACCCGCATTGTCCAGGTGTTTTTCAGTTATGCTCTGCATCAGTATTCATTGTCAGTGAGCAGGCACTGATGCCACCTGACCAGAAGCCTCTCGGGAGCTGTGGGCACATTAATCAGCTTTGACCTAGATCTGTTCCACTCATTGGGAGAGAAGTGGGCTGGCAAAGGGGAGGGTTTCCTACACAGTCGATGAGCGCGTGCATGTGTGCCTGCATGAGTATGCAAGTGTCAATGGCAGCATAGCATGTGGAAAACATGGATAATTTAAAGTAAATCTTTAAAATCTCCGTTCAAATATTGTTCTGTTTTGCGGGTGGAAACCCAGCTGATTTGAAGCCAGCCAAAATGAGAATGTGAGCGTGTGATGTGATGGCGTTGCTCTCTAATTCGACAGCTTTATTGCCATCCCTTTTTTGTGACCTCAATCTCACGTCTACCATGACAAACACTATGAAGATCCATGCCGTTTGTCCTTGATGGAATGCTGAAGGTTTCAGAGCTCCTTTCTTTCAACACAAACGGATAAAAAAACGACGTACAAGCAACTACAACTGAGCAATCTTCTAATCACCGTATCCATTAAATGTTAAGACTCCTGGCAAGCAGAGGAAGCTGGAGACATGTCGGTACATTCATGTAGTGTGCCATACATAGCGCATTGATTTCCCATATTTCTGCCTCTACACTACGTGCATATAAGGTGCTGTATTAAAGATGAATAAGGACAAGGATGACAATGGATTATTAATGAGGCACAGTCACTAGTCATTGTTCAGCACAAGACTGCAGTGGCTGCCTGAGTTGATGTCTGGGGTAGCTTGTTAGATCTGATGTGTAACGGTGTAGAAGTGGCAATGATGTACGACACAATCGTTTATTTAGGCTAAAGAGTCGTAGTTTTTGTTTTGACATAGTGGCTTGAAGTAATTTGCTAACTCTATTTCTACCTTCTGTGTTTTTTTACGCAACTGGTGTGAAAGGGCTAGCGTTGAGCCCAACCCCCAAGGCCTGTTTTGGGGATTCTGCCATGGCATGCTTTCATGGGCTGGGCCATTTTGTGTGCAGCTGTTTGCTCCTCTGCTAGCCTTTAGCAAATGTGGGTGTCCGGCTAAGGGGCAAGGTTTCAAATGAGGGCGTCGGGCTTTTAGAAATTGACAGTTTTTGTCATTGTAGTACTCAACATCTCACACACAGCTCTGGTTAATATGATGCTGTATTTAAAAAAAACAAAATCATTAGTCCTCCTAAACCCCTGCTGACAGGCACAACTATGGCACTGGGCTGCTAAATGACTTATTTTTCTATATGTTCTGACTGTTGCACAGGATCAAGCTTGATTGATAGAGATATTTGTTATATCTGTTATTTACACAAGGAGTATTTTACTCTTCCACTTCGTTATCGATTGCTTGTTATATCTCAATGCCATAAGCTGGCAGATAAAATGTTATTGCTAAGTGTGATACAGTATTTGACTATTTTTCCCCCTCCGGCCGAATGTTGTGCTTCCTTAACAGGCCTGTCGGGGCAGTTGGATTGTTTTTGACTTCCCTGCCCGCCAGCCTGCCACCCTCCAATGTTTCTAATACCATGTGGTGTTAGTGATACAGCTTATTTCTTATCAGCAAAGTTTTTTTTCCTTCTTGTGTTATCCATCTTCTAAATATCTGGAGGGTGTGCTGGGAGCTAAACAAATTGCTGACCAATGCTTTGGGAATGTTGCTGAAAAACCAAAGACAGCTTTGGGATAAAATGCACAGGAAGGATACAGTATATGTATCCGGGGTTTAGCAGCCTGCTCAGGAATCCAAAGCGTCTGCATGTATCTATAGCAAGGCACACATTAAATGGACATGTGCAATCGATGGATGAACGTATTCGTTGTCTTTTTTTCTTTGCTGTGATGTTATACTGGTGACACGGTGATGTGCAAGTCAAATGTATCTATGTCAACTTATCTATTTGTTGAGGGAACGATTTGGTATTTGCAGGAATGGTACTAATGCAAAGGTCAGAATGGTCCTGTGTTTATCTACGAGCGATAGAGAATGTGTAGCAGCATGTGAGGGCTGGCTTCTTACCAAGTTCAAAGATCTTTTACAACTTGGTGCCAAAAGTCGTGACCTTTGCCCTCATCACTAACATGACGGGGGGGCAACCTGGTAATTGTGTCGTGTTTTGCCGCTCAACGTCACCGGGCTTGATTGTTTCCAACATGGTTGTTGTTTTCACGCTCTGGAAATATCTTTGCGTGACATTTTCAGTCCGTGGTATTTTTTTTTTTTTGCTACAAATATGTGTCTTGTCTTTTAAGTTTGACCGTCCGGGTTCAGAGAGGGGAAGAAATAGCAAATGTTTTCTCTCAAGGGACGACATCAACAACATCTTTCCTCTTTTCCTCTGACGTTTATCTCTCGAAGGCAGCAGAGCATCCTTCTTTCTGTCTGTTTGGTTCATGCGAGTCCCGAGATGAACTTGTTCTCTTGTGAGTGGCACAGCTTTATCTGGATAGTAATTGAGTGTCCTCTGCAGCCTCTGGTCAGATGTTTGTTTTCTTCTACCCCAATCCTGTGTATTGGATCAGATGGATGCGTGCTGTCTGTGTGTGTGTCATCAAATAAATAAGGAAAACAAACTCATGCCTGGACTGGACTGCCACATTATTGTGTCCTATTTGTTCTAGGTCAGTGGATATAGGGCTGAGGGCTTCATAACTCTTTACATGTACCGTATGCTGCGATGCACACAGCTATTTATAATATCCGGAAGGTTGAATTGTAAGCATGCAATCTCCAATATCATCCCTGGCCTTAATCTCTTTGATTTAATGTCTTATTCTCTGCATGTTCATTTTTAAAACTCAAAGATGAAACCATTAAATCAGGATGCAAATAAAGGAGGCTTGTCGGTCAAAAAGGATGAGCTTACTGTCCCCTTTCAGCCCCTCGCTAAACCCTCCATCTCAAGGCTGGGATATTGTTTCTCCTAGCGGGGGAGCTGCAGTAATCTGATTTCATAACAGGAAAAGAAGAGCCAGTAATCCGATGCTGCACACAAACACGGTCTGCGTAATCCACCGCTTCCTTTTGCAATCATAAATAAGGCCGGTCGGCCTTCTCCGGTGCCCTTCAGGATTGTGACATGGCACTCCGCGTCCGTCTGTGTCTTGTTTTACAATCTTTGTTCGGCCACACCGTCTCTATCGATATCTGATGCAGAGCGTGTTGGCACAGGAATGTCCCTCTTACTGTGATGTCAAAGTCAAACATCTCTTTGGGGCCATGTCACTGTTCCTCTCCTACTTGATGAGAGGTTTTTTTTATTTAACGCTGAATTTGTACGCTGATTGATTTTGTACCAGAATACAATTACTGAATGTTGCTGATGATGAACTATACTCTTCTTACATTGAACAGTTACCCCAACAGTTAATTGACATTATATTAATGCCCAGAAGCCACACTACAATAAAAGCATTGGACTTCAGGGACAGGAGTTTGATAGATACCCGCACCACGGATAAATGAAGATGTCCCACTGTAGATCATTTCACTTAAAAAGATAACAAGACTCATTGAAAAGTAGCTGCAGCTCGAAGTTTCAAAGAAATGATAATGGCCATGGAATTTAAAGCTGTAGTGTATTTGCTTTTTAATGGTAATTTGTTTATCACCACATCCATGGTATAGGGAACTAAATGATTTTGGGCTATTTAGTCGTTTTTTTAAATAAAAGCGTTAAATAAAAGGTAGGTCCTTCTTCAAATATGTTAGTAGGGTTTTGGAAATATGAACCGATAATTGGTGCAGTTCCCCTTTTGTGTTGCGCTATCCTTGAACAACACGAGCCCTAACTCGACTACATGCTCCATCAGGCTGTTCACACACTTTCCTAACAGTAGACCAATCAGCACCCCCCCTTTTTTTCATGCTCACTCCCACTGCCTGAAATGTGTCAAAATTCTCTTGGTTTCCTTCCCTGGCTTCCTGGAGGAGGAGGAATTTCATCGAGAAACATTTCACATTCCTGGCTGCTAGAGGGGCTGCTGGTGCAGATGAAGCCGG